TTACATAAAATATGTGGATTCATAGTTTAAATTAATTTTTAAATTAAAAAAAAATATGCCGCGGCTGGTTTTTTTGACTGGGAATGAGTTTATTGCATTCAGCGCATTTTTTGCCCACTTTCTTTCGACTGACCATTAGTGCTGACACATAGTACATTATACAAGCTCGCTGACAGTCAAGCAATGCAGACAAGTGATTTTAGTCGCAGAGCAAAATTGCTGTGCTGAGGGCCCGGCACTGAGTGTAAAAGAGATAGCGTATCGGACGCACTTTTCGCAGTCATTGCGAGTTTTTAAGCACAATAAACGTGTTTAAAGAAATTGGAACAAAAACAAACCCATAGAAAAGAAAGACCGGGTTTTGTTTATATATTATCAATTAAAGAAAGAGACGCTGACGTCACAAGGTTAGCATCCTCAACGTCTGAAATGAAAAGAAAGTTTTCACCCGAACCAGAGGTGGTAATTACTCTATAGAGTAAGTAACTTTAAATCGATTTTTCGCAAAAACCGCAATAGATGCGAAAAAATGTCTTGTACAAAAGTTGTAGATTTTAAAATTTTTTCTAACTTTTGTTTAAAACATTTTCCTATATCTATAATAGTTGAAGCAAAAAATGTGCGAAAACGGCTTTTGGAGCATTCTTACCCCTTTTTTACCCTGACGCTGAGTTTAAATCCTCTCCAAAACTATCTCTAAGCAAAATTAGCATGCCTAGAAATATTCCAGCCTAGTTTGATCGAGGTTGAAAAATTGCCATTTCAAGTCTAACTTGACCTAACTAAAGAGTGGAATGCAATTTATCTTTATTTCGAGCGAATGTTACGTCCCGTACCTGGATAGCAGTCTTATAGTTTGAGTTGCAAGAAAACTCTTCTCCAACTTTCCTGGGAGTGGAGACCCCGCTTATGTTTGATGGTGATTACGAGATAGAGGTTTACCGTACGCACGTCGCTCGCTTCCTTACGTATGTTCGTTCCCTCCGTACGCATACTCTTTACCCCCTTAAAGAGGCTCCTTCCCTCAGGCACTTTCCCTTTCTCCAGCTCTTATCATAATCCACAGGGTATTATCCCTTCCCTGGTTTTTATGGGCATTACCCTCTCTTCTTATCTAACGTATCTAATACAATCTTATTGCCTTTTTTTATTGCAAATCAATACAAAAGAATTTCAGATTGTAACACAAGTACAATTGTGATGAGAATATATTCGATTACAATTAGTTACATTTTTATCAGTAATACAAAAAATTTCCTAGTAACCAAATTAAAAAACAGCGCGCAGATAGAGTTTTTCAAACAATGTTTGTAACAAATCCAATTGTTATCAACTTAAAAAGTCCGTTTCCAGTCATGTAAAACAGTTAATAACTTTTTTTCCGCGAAAGAATGTAACGACTAAAATTTTCTTAAAGCGAATCCTCGAGAAAATTTAGATTTTAAAAATTATCAAATTTTCTGGCCCAGGATTCTATGGCGGATATGTTACAAAGTAATTTCTCTAAACATAAATTGAAATCCAATTCTAACTTTTATTATGTAAACCATTCACAACATATATTTATTCCATTCGAGATTTCCAATTGTCTAGCTTTACAAATAAACTTTATCTTAAAATGCCCTTATACTCGGGATACTCTGAGAGCTAACAACTCTCAGAGGAAAGGCTACAACCTTATCTAGGCAATCGACGAGCTACAACTCCTCTAGGGACACGGGTGTGTGCTACAACTCGTCCCAGGGTACTCTAGAAGCTAACAACTCCTAGAGGGAAGACTTCAACCTTGCCTAAAGAAAAGACGAGCTTCAACTCGTCAGCGTGGAGCTACAACTCCCACACGAACTCAATCGTGAGCACCAACTCTCGATTGCTAACTAATACCAAGAGCATCAATTCCTGGCCGGAAGGCTACAACCCTCCAAGTCCTAAGGTTGGAAAGCTTCAACTCTCCGAGGAACTAAAAAGCTACAACCTCTTAGCCAGAGCTACAACTCTGTGTTTTACAACATGAGCTACAACTCTCGTTGGTCTCGTCAGTCTAGTACCTCGGAGACAAGTGAAGTGACGATCTCCGCAAAATCCAGCTCTTTTATACCACTTGACTCCGCCTACTTTACTATCCCGCACCACTATTGTGGTGAGTTGCGTGGGAAAGTCGTCATGGCAACAAAATCATCACAATATCTCTTCCTCTCAAATCTATAATGTTTCTGATGACCCTCTCTCTCTCTCTCTCTCTAATACATGGTTTTAATAGGCTTTGCCTATAATTTAAATTTCGCGTTACTCTATATGGGTCGATAAAACAATTTTTCTGATGATCGATCCATTAGACCCATTAATTTCCTCTAATATCGGTCTAAAAACGTAACTTCGTTACAAGAAGAAATATCCCGTTGAAGGAACTCGAATCAGTCGCATAGATTCTGTTTTCAATTACTTGTAACAAATTTAGTTATGATAAACAGATAGAGCCTATTTTCATACATGTCACATGGTTAGTAACTTTTTTTTTAATGAAAGAAATAATATCCCGTTGGAGAATTAATTTATCCTATGATTATGCTGTATTTATTACAGTATCTATTATTGGATCAGATTTTTTCTCTTCCTAAATTAGGTATAAATAAACATTATTATTCATATTTAAAGATTAACTTAAGTTATATTTATCATAATTTATATTTTAAAATACTCTATATATAAATAATATTATTTGCATTTTTATGAATATTAACGTAAGAGAGATATAAACATACTTGTCAGTATTTCAAATATTATTTGAAATACTGACAACAAAAAATATTTGATGATTGTATTTAAACATTTCTAATAAAGTATCTTTTTCAGTATACACTAAATCGTTTTTAAAATACAAAGTAAAATATCAATAAGGTACTCAATAAAAACTTTGCTAAACGTTGTATGTAACGCCGTAGCTTATACAGAAATTGTTGAATAAATTTATCCGCATTTAAATACTTTTACAAAACCCAGTATTTGTATTTGTATTTGAATACTTTACGGAGTAAGAGTATTTGTATTTAAATACTTTTTAAAAGGTATTTTGTACAAGTCTGGATATACACCTTTCATTCGTTCAATTAATACATTGAAAATATATCTATATACATCGTAAAAAAATTGTGACCACGAGAAAGAGAGAGGTCCGCGTCAGATGGCATTTAGATAAGACTGACTAAGAAGAGGCTTAAAATCATATCGATATGTGCGAAAAACGAAATCATGAGCGTGGCCCAATCTGTATCTCCATGGATACTCGATAGATAAATCTCATTTTTGATTAAAATAAAAGCTCATGGTCATTATTGATTGTATAGTGAAAATCATCTTATGATGTTGATCAGTTATCGAGATATTTATAATTAAACATTGCGTCGTAACGTCACGCGCGAACTTTTCAGTATAGAGTATAACGTGTTACTTGGCTCTGTAAATGTGAGCTGTGAGAGCACGCTAGTTGGACGTGGGGTAATAGTTAGATTTTTAATTCAAATAGATTCATATTTTAGAATAGCTGAGTTGGCAGCGTACTGGACTATGGCCTCGAGAATGCCAGAATCGAATTTTACCATCACCAAAATTTTTTCGGAGAAAGTTTCTAATAAATTTCATTTGAAGTGGATATTTAAGGCTAGGCTTTACTTAAAATTTTCGCCCCATTAGCTGTAGCAGAAAGCACCTGAAAAATGATATAACGGAATCCATCCCAATTACTGCGTTTTATTATGTAAAATGATTTCATTTATGATATAGAAGGTGGAAAGGAGGTCGGCAGATAAATTTTTCCGGCAAAAAAGTTGTGAAAAAATAACAATTAATTATTTTCTCTTGACGGCCATGAAACATGAAAAATCGAGTAATAATTCAATGACAATTTTTTCTCTAATTAAATTTTATTAAAATATAAATTAATAGAATAAAACGTTTACCAGCGGCATTCTACATGGAATAGGCTTTAATTCAATATTAGAATCAGTGGATATAATTGCCAACTGACTAATAAATTAGTTACTTCCGGACTCCTTGGGATTTTCTAGGGACAAACCGAAGTAAAGCCCAACCTTAAACAGCAAATCCGTATAAACAAAAAACCTATAGAGGGAATTGAAATTTTGTTTCGTTTGAACTGATATTTTTTGTGGTAATAAGATTCTATTGACACGTTCAATAGGTTTACCTTTAATTCTATACGAAATTTCGACAGTATTAGAATTCCATTAAATAACCTTTAATCTTAGGATCTAAAAATCCTATTAAGTTACATTCAGTTCTACCGATTTTATACAACTGAGTAGGATTCAGATGGTTTCTATTGAAAAAAAAACCTACAATAGGATTTAATTTCCGATGCTATTTTTTTTTCTCCTATGGAACTTTTTTTTCCTAATAGGATTGTCTAAGCAGGGATGGTACTAATAGACCAAAGTGGTAATTATGAGGTCAGGTCTCATAAGTACATACGATATATTGAGTGGCACTTATTTATACTGCTATATAAATTTCTGGTGTCTGTCTGTCTTTCTATTCAGGGTCATCCCCAGAACAACTAAATCCGATTGCATCGAATTTTGCAAACATGTAGAGGGCATTGTAAGGAGAGTTATAAGCTACTTTTTGTTTATGTAAATTGTTTATAACATTTAAATTTGTTAAAAACAATGGAACACAGGATCTATCCAATATATTTGATTTCTTCCAACGGACAAATTTTTCCTTTTGCTGAAATTAAGTTACAAACTATGTAAAACGTATGCAAACATACTTCTTTTGTTTACAACAATTGAATTTGTTATGAAGAAGCAGAAATTGAGTACTACGATAAAATTCAAATTATTTCCCTTTATCTCCAATACTTACATGTATATATTAGTTATTTATCAACTTGATCACATAGCAATAGGTTTTTGTAAATACTAATTTTTTTTTCTGTTTTTATGCAGTGAAAAAAAAGATAATTTTTTTTTTTCTTTTAGGGCTGCTCTAAGTCGGGTATGCTTCAAATTGGTAATTGTCATGGGCGTTACGTGGATCGCTGATGTAATATCATGGGCTATTGGTGGCCCAAGTTATTTATGGTATTTCACGGACTTAATAAATGCACTTCAAGGTGTCTTCATATTTATCGTAGTAGGTTGGCAACCACAAGTGCGAAGTAGTCTTAAAAGAATTTTCAATGGAAATCCTCGAACTAACGCTGGAAGACAGGGAAATGGACTGAGTACTACTAGTAATGGAATGCCAAGTTTAGGAGATAGTGTGACTCATAATCCAAGTACTAGGACAGTACCATTAGAAACTATCTGTTGAATTATTTTATAAATTGTTTTTTTCTAACTGATGTACTGCCAGCTTTAGTAACAATCAATACTTTAAATATTTAATATTTTTTTTTGCCGTATTTAGCAATAATGACGTTCTGTCCGTAATATATAAGAGACTTAAAAAGCCAGATAATGCTCATTATCATGACAATATTACAAACTTTTCAAATAAGTATGAAACTATGTTATTGTAAAAGACTATACTGTTGAGCCCACGAATGTTAATTTGATTTTTTATATGAAAAACTTTGTTACATAAAAATAGCAGTGTGTAAATTAGTGCATCCGACGTTGAACTGAGGTTCAATATTATTGGTCTAATGTTTTATAAAAAAATACGTCAAAAACCACTTGTTTCTGTAGCTTCTGAAAATAATTAAAAATAGTACAGAGTAAATTCAAGATTTCATGCATGTATTATAATAACAGGTATAAGGTGTGTTAGATGCAAAAATATCCATAAAGGAACTATACATTATTTATTCACACTTTTTACATGTTTCATAATGTGTGAAAAATCTCTAATTTGTTTACGGCATTTCCTTTTGAAGAGGCTTAGTGTGTTAATGAAACTGTCTACAAATCATGTATAGTTTGTTTATGGACATTTTACATCGAACACACTTTTCGCGTGTTATTATAACACGTTCGTAAAATCTTGGATTCGCAGTGCAAAATTCGTACAAACATAGTTTTTTTTATCAGAAAATAATATTCCAAAAACGGATAGTTAACACGCGTTCAGCACTCTCACCTACTATTCATTCTTGAAAGGTAGCTCACGTACTTGAAAATTCACTATCTACTTCTGTCATATAATATACTATTATCCAAAATATCTGAGAAACAGTAGAAAATTTGATATTCACATAGTAAGCGTCGCCAGAATCTTAACAATAAAATTTAAATTTCTATCAAAATTATTGACCGTGATCATAAAAGTTTATATTCGAAATATGACATCAATAGTAATGAATTGTTAATAATCAGTCTTTTCAATGATTGTATTGTAATCAGAAACATTATAATAACTTGAAATAAAACTTCAAGATCAGTTCAAAAATGACTAATGAAAGAGTAATTTAACAAAAGAGTAATAGTCTAGACACTTTTACAATGCATTTACAGAACAATTGTTTAAAACCATATATACTAAAATTTCTTATTAGTTCATAAGGTAACTACTTAAAATAATAATTCCATCAACATAATAGAACAATGTGTCAAAAAAAGTCAGTCTTCAACAGTATTCGATTTGTGGAAATTTCTTGTGACAATTTATTCAGTATTTCCATGGAATGTAGGAAAAAATAGTAATACAAACATGAATTTATTAAGTGAAATAACGATGACATCGAAAACTACTAATTATTCAAGATTATGATAAGACTGTAATTGGAGAAAATAAATAATATTAAAAAACATAACATGCAACTTAGAGCTCTTGAAAATTATGACAATAAAATAAAAAATCGATTAAATTTCAATTTTTGCCTTTGATACTGCCTTTAAACTTACGAACTTGAAGAAAAAGAGAAGTAAATACATTTAGGTCAAGCTTTAGTCTGTAATAAAGGTCTATATGTCTAATATATGATAACGATTATGTGACATTTTCTTGGATCCAATTTATGCAAACGAAAATTAGCTTTATATTTTATATAGGTGTTTAGAATAATTTAGAATAACTAATTTTATAAATTGTAAATTTATTTATTTATTTGAATAAAAATGTCTTTTTCAATTTTATACAGAAACTATCTTTTGAATCATTATGACACCCTAGCAATAATTCATTTAAATTAACTGTCAATCTTAAAGACATATGTAAATTTTAGTTACGGGTTTAAACAGTATGCTATAATGTAGATATACATAGACGTACATTATTCGTTAAGGACGTGCAATCGAATTGATTCACATCATTGATTTAATTTAAAGTTAAAAAACTACTTGTTAAAACATTTGACTTCAGTATCTCAATGAAAATTATTCTATATGATTTTGTAAAATAATGCATAATTCACCTCAGAATTTATCTCTACATAATAATGTATCAATATAAATTATACATATACAATGATACATACTATGTATTTTATTCAATTGTGAACATTAATGACTGTGAGTTTCTCAACAGGTTAATAAATTTTCAATTGTTTATAACGAATTTGAATAGTTACAAACAATGCGTGATTGTTAAAGGTGATATTTGGCTGTGAACAGTAATGTCTAGTTAATATCGACTTAATATTTAAATGAAATTGTTATTGTTTGGCATTCAAGTATTTTTAATAGCTAATTTTTTCATCTATTCATTAGTTTTAATGTTATAAAAAAACAGCTTGACCAAATCTCTTTAAATTCCTTCCAGATCTACTTTATAATAATATCTTTCGAATAAATTTTGATTAGGGTTGATATCTCGATCCGTTCTTAAGATATTAGAAACGGAAAAAATGCTGACGTCTATAAAAACGTATATGCATATATACGTATGTACGAAGAAGTCAAACCTATTGAATAATGCAGAATCCTATTGAGGTTAGATTAATAATTCAAATAATTTATAAATCGTGTTTTACTTCCGAATCTATTTATTTTATATAGAAATCGTTTCAATGTTCTCCTTTCAATAATATAAAATCCTATCATGGGATATTGGGATAAATATATAATTTCTAAGTTGCATTTTACCTGTCATATCTTCACGAATGACAATTTTTTTTTTCTGCTTTAAAATACTTGCTAGGATGTATACTTAATCAACGATTAAATTATTTTAAATTTTTAACCCAAATAGATTATGCGAAAGTTATGTTTCCATGTTTTAGAGTAGCGCAGTCGACAATGTTCTGGACTGTAGACCTGAGCATGCCAGGATTGAATCTCACCATAAACAAGATTTTTTCAAACAAAGTTTCTGATGAATTTTATTCCAGGTGTATATCTAAATAACAAATCCGTATAAACAAAAAACCTCTAGAGCAAATTAAAAATTCCTTCTGTTTAAACTGATTTTTTTGTGGTAATAAGACCCTATTGAATCGTTCAATAGGTTCACCCTTAACTTTATAAGAAATTCTGAGACAACAATATTCCCATTGAATTATATCAAATTCTATTAAAGCATCGAAAAGGAATTGCTTCTTTTCAATGGGGAAATTGTCATCTCACAAGTCCTATTAAATCCACTAAAATCCAATTAAGGAATCTAATAAGATTCTGCATTATTCTATAGGAAATTCTGAGACAACAATATTCCCATTGAATAGTATCAAATCCTATTGGGAAGTTGAATAGGGTTCAGCGTATTTTAATAGGACAACTGAATAGGATTCAAGCGATTTCTATAGGGAAAACAAAAACGTTCAATAGGATTCAATGGGAAATTTCCGATGCAATTTTTCTATTGAACTCCCTTATCTCAATAGGATTGTTTTAGCAGCGATTTTCGAATAAATCGGTATCACCAAAAACAATTCCAGTATTGTCATCAGTTACTGCCGCGGTTATGAAATTTTTATTACCGCACTTACACAATTCTGGTTAATGTTCATCGTACATAAAATCAATTATATCTGAATATTTTTCTACATTAGATGTTTTTAATTCATTTCTATTATTAATCATTGTATGAGAAAGAGAGGAATAGAGAACGATGTGGGCTACATCAACATATTTCAAGAATATTGATTTGTGTATTATTAAAATGTAATTTCGATAATAAAATGTAAATTATAATTGGTCAGTAAATTAATTTTCCTTCAATATTTATTAATCTATAAGATAAGTAGTATTTATACATACTTTTGAGAAATTATTCTATATCATTCTGAAAGTGGTAGTAATTGATCTTTCGCTGCATCTATCAACTCTTTTAAAAAGTTGTGTCTGATTGATAGCTGACTCTTCTAAATGCAGGTGATCGTTATTTAATTTGAATTTCCCGAGTCGGAGAAGTTTTGCCGAAAGCTGGATAGGAATTTTTTGTTTTATAGTTGGCTGTCTGCCGCTTGTGGTCGACAGAATGCGGAAGTAAACTCAGTGCATGTAAATTAGTTATAGCGCCATATGTATAATTTATAAGAACTATTATGAATAAATGCAATTTTATAAGATGATGGTGCACCCGACCGCATGAATGTTTGGTCCGAACAGCTGGGTCCATTAATGACTGGGTTGTTATCTATTGAGCCAGGCCTATAACCTCCAGGTAATTACCGACTGCGGAAGGAATTTTTTTGTGTCGAGAGTTTTAGTAGATATGTAAGGCCGGTTCTGGATCACTCTACAATACCGGCCGAGTCAAAAAGTGGGTTCTGATCCGCACAAATTACCGACCGCAATTACTTTGACGATAAGTTACCGACTTACCGGCCGTGATAAGTTATCGACAGTGATAATATTGATGACCGACCGTGATAACTTAGGTTATCGACAGCGATGATATCGATTTTTACCGTCCTCGATAAGTTATCTTTATCTCGCCGATTGCGATAACTTTTTGGCGATAAATTGTCGGCAGCGATTGATCGTGATTTTTTTTTTTACCGACCTCGATGAATTATCTTCAATGATAACACCGATTTTTTACTTACCGCGATTAAAATTTCAGTATCAGCAAAAATAACTGATTTTCAAAGGTTTGTCAATGTATTAATATTCTCTCAAATTTGCGCTACCGACTATCGGGTTTTTCTGGAAATAAATGAATGAAAACAGTTATCTTTCCCCAGTACACAATTTATTTATAGCAAAAAAAATTTGATTAATACATGAATAATATAATCATAATTATGATATATATATATATTTTACAATATTTTATGTGAGTTTTCTCATTTGCGCACTCAAAGGTTTATACTCTATTATCCGATCATGTAAGATCAAACAATAGGCTGATGTGTTAGCAGAAAAAGCTGTTGATGATTCGAACTCCAGTCGAACTGGTCCTGATTTTAAGGACTCATTTTGTTTAGAACAATTGATTACTACAAGTGGTGCTATATCAATAAATTTTCTTTTCGTGAACAGAGGTTCTGCTTCTTTATCATAATATGTTGTTTGAAAATCTTTATACATATCATATAATAAGGGAAATTGATTATGACTTATGTCAAGATTCATGTTATCATATGGATAGCATTGTAAATTGACGAAAAGTTTTACATCCCTAGAATCACAATGATCGGAATGACTTGCATCTTTCGTAGCATCATTTTTGCGTGCAGTTTAAAATCCTAATATAACATAGCGGGGCTTTTCCAATTGAGTTGATGTTTTTACGACCCATAAGTGTTTGGTTGTGTTCGGCAGCATTGGATATTCATATAATTCCCATGATCTGAAACTCACTGGAATCGGTGGGTCTTTTGCAATGTAACTTAACAGTTCTACTTTTTTTTATGTCTGCAACAGTGACATAAGGAATTATCCATTCAATTTTTATAAGCGTGATTGTCTCTTCAGGTTTCGCTGCAGCTTGTACAATTGCATTAAGATCGATCTTTGAAGGAGTAAGTATTAATTCATGTTTGGCATTGACAATTACGCGATGATAATCTTCAGCAAATCCCAATAGCATATGTAACGGTATCGAAACATCAAAGTATCTATTATCATTAAATAATCTTTCATTATCAGTTACCCAACCTGAATTATCTAAATAATTTTTTTGACCTGGATGAAGAGATAGATATCCCTTCATGAGACTTGTAAGACCAACATTTTTATTTCGATCAATCTCAACACCATTCAATTCTTATCGTATTTCTTCAAATAAATAGCATACGGCCATATTAACGAATCTTGATGTTGAACTGAGATATGTATCTCATCATTATTATTATATGTAGTAGATGCATATGGTTGATGAGCATGCACCTCAATGTGTGCGATAGACTTGATAGATTTCGATAAGTTAATCGTTTGAGTTTTCTTCGATGACTGATGGGATTCAGGCATGATATGTTAGTTTTATAGCTTCCCCCTACTATTGGTTTATAAACAATCTCCATCACGTGACTGATTTCAAATGTAAACGTATTGTTACAGTTTAATTTACGCCTTAATTATATAACATTGTTTTATAACTTTGTTATATTACAGTAATATTATGGTTACATAACATTTTTATTAACATTAATATTGTTTAAATTGACAAAAAAATTGTCAGCAATGTATTTTTATTGGATTTTATTGCTTTTGTTTACTATTCTATTATTTTTTAAGTGTAATTTGATTTCTTTAGTGAAATGCATTTTTCCTATTTGGGGGGATTCGAACCTACGACCGCCCGCTCGCACGCAACTTAAACCTACGTTTTTGCCCACTAGGCTATTCTGATACTTAATTCCCAAATTGAAAATAGGCCCATATAAACATATATTTTAGTTACATGTACAAATATATAGAAAAATGAGAATAATTGTGTGAATTATAGTTCATTTTAGTAATAATGTAATAATTATTATATATAATCTCTTCTTTTTATTTTTAATTGAGATTTATTCATTTTTGAGATTACAAAACATTTTGCAAATGTCTTAGGTTAAACAAATTGATAGAAAAATCCCTATTTTCTGAGTATTCAATACACATAGCCAATAAAAAAGT